CGGGGGGGGGGGGGGGTGAAAGAGTGACTAGGGCGTACACGGTAGAGGTGCAGACCGCTAGTGTCTTTTGCTCACGCAGAGTCTTATCCTTAGGTCCATTGACCCTCTCTTGAGCCTTGAAGCAGTCAAGCATGGACACACTATATCAGCTGTTGAAGTGGAACCCTGTACAGGTAGGCTCTACTTTTCAGCAGGCACAAGATTCATGTCCACTTCTAGCTGATTGCGTATGTCGCATACTCTTTTTCTACTGCAAGGCTAAAACAGTCCAGCTAGCTCTGACAACTTAAAAGAAACTACGGTGCCCTGTACTTACCTAATCCGGTGCGTTTCACACTTCGGAGAAGGTAATCTCATAGCTACTAAATACAGTGAGGGAGCAATAGCTGACTCACCTCAAGTACAAAATCAAAGCGATAATGTACCTCGGCTGGAGACTGTACTTTTCGCTGGCGGAGATACCATGTACCGGCGCTCACTAGCTCTTTAGGGCCTGAGCTAAATCAAACTAAAAAGGGAAAGCGGCTTTTTCTCTACAGAGACCTATAAAAGAATCAAACGACACTCGCGTAACAAAGAACTAAAAATTCAAGACCGCGCAATGCAATGAATTAAGATGCCTTGCAAAATGCAAGGAGCGTACGGTCCGAGGAATAATCTTCTCGTGACGTGGTCTCGACCGCTTTCATTCACAGACAAAATAAACTGCATCAAAAGGACTCTCTTTCACATTCACATCAAAACACAAGAAGGAGATACCGGCAAATGTATGTACAAACTTGCACTACAAATGCCAATCATGAAATGACTTAATCATCAACCATGAACGGTTGTCCATTAGAGGTCATCTCAGAAAAGCGACTGTGATAGATATCATCAGTTATGCCAAACTGTCCATACCTATCTACATGCTAAAGCGTATAAACCTGGAATGCAGGAGTATCTTCTTTGATAAAAAGTTTCTCCTGGTTCCAAACCAGAGTTCATTAAAACTTCAGCATGGCAATTTAAAGTCTAATGATGGCTAGGAAGTGAAGATACTTCTGGTTACAGTTAATACCTTGCTTCCAGGCTTGACTTTAAATTTCAGCCTTCGCTCAGGAATTATGCCGCTGCAGACGTTGAAGCTGCTTGACCAGAAGTTGGCGGCCTTCCTTTCTTTCTATTCTGCTTTTGTCTCTCCTTCCTCCGCACGTTCGCTTCTTGAAGCGTTGCTGCTGTGCGATACTGTCTTCTGTCTCCAGATGAAAGGGAAGCTGGTCTGAGGGAAATAAACATTGGACCATGACTATCCTCGTCAGTGGGCCTTGAGCACATAACCTCTGTGTCAATCATAGCAAAGTTCTCTGAAAAATTACAGATGAACTCCTTCGTGCTCACTGTGGAATTTTCATATTCCTCTTCACTCATTGAATGACCCCATTCAACAATGGTAGACAAACATGTATCGCCAAGCCTTGATCCTTGGTATTCTTCCTTTTCAACAGTAGAGTATTCTTCCCAGAGTTTGTCAAAGTAATCTTCACACTTCTTGAGGACCTGAGAAGTTGAACTGTAAAAAGTTCTGGGAATAGGTGCCTTGATACCAGGATCTGCTTGTACACGAGCTTCTGAAAACCTGCGGATCCAATGCTGCATGGTGCTGTAATAGTAGTTAGCCATTGGCTGCCTTTTGTACCCAGACATTCTGTAGGCCAAACTATTTGCATCACCAGAAATGATGTCCACCTCATAGACAAAACACTCGTAAAGCATCAATGCTGTCTGTTCTCCTGTCAGTAGGTGGGCATCCACAGCACGGTGTGTATCAACATGATAATTACAGACTCTGATGGTATGCATGTTCGCTCGAGTAAGTGGAACACGCTTGTCCTCAGGACCATAGTCATCAAATTCAAAGTCTGCATCCTTGAAATCTTGACGAGGCCTTGTTTCTCCAAAACAAATCTCGTAGATAGCCCAAGTTACATCACGCTGTTCACAATGACCAAGTTCTTGATCATGTCCAGCAATGATCTTGACATATCCACCTGGTGCCAATCTAGCCATCACTGCAAGATTCTCCCAATCATTGAAACAAACTGTCCAATTCTTTTGCTCAATAAATTCCTTGGCAGGAACAAGAAGATGAGCTTCCTGGAGAATCACGACATGTGCACGTAAAAAGAAGAGCATATTGAAGAAAAGGTTGTTCTCAAATTGCTCATTCTGAAGTGACATGGCGCTCTGTTTGCGTGGCTTCATTGCACCATCAAGTCCTTGGAGAAACCTTGGTGTGGTGTACTTCTGACCACGAACCATGTTGCCATAGTTCCAGGATAAAAAATGTCAAGGACTCTGAGCTGGCCAATAAGTTAGTTCCATATGGTTCTTCTATTCTTCCTTTAAGGAACCTTCTGCACAGCTCTTCATAGAAGGTGACAAAGTCCCAACTGGGTCCCTTGGGACCATATAATTCCAGTTCCTTCTTGAGTTCCTTCTTCGTATCCTCCAATTCTTCTCGAGCATGACCTGCCCTTTCAAGGGCCCTTGGATCGACCTGATACCTGCCATCCAAATAAATGATGCGGTCATCATTGATGAAGAATCTCCTCAAATCATGCCCTCGTTCATGTTCATAACAAACAGGTGGAGGTACTGGACAGACATTTCGAATGGATCGAACAAAATCATTCTCGTTGATCCTTGACTGATAATGAGGATGGGAAATCTCACCTTTTCTGAAACAAACATGATTCAGCAATCTTGCATGAGTTTCCCTGAATCGTAGTTGATAAAAGCCAATACCTGGATCTCCTGTAAGCTCTCCAAGCAACTTCAAAGGTGAAGTATGCAATTCATAGGTATTGTCAGCTTTTGTTGTATCCTTTTCAACAACTACTTCAGATGGAAAAGATTCTTGGATTTCTGCCTCCAATTTCTTCTCTTCATCATCCTCTCTGACCTCTTTTATTTTCTCCACCGCCTCTTTCTTCTCTTCCATGGTTGCATCATCCTGAACTTCTTCATGAAAATGAGGATCAGGAATTTTATTCAGGCGGCTTTTCTTAGATTTCCGATGACCTGAAGTATCATCAAGGTTAGCATCCATCTCACCTGATGGTAAGTGCGACGCAGTCGAGTCTTCACCTTTCTCTCTTGACAGAAAGTGTGGTGTTGACTCTTCCTTGGCTTCCTCCTGGTCAACTTCCATCCTTGATTCCTCTGAAGGAAAAACACCTGCGTCTTTATTTAATATTTCTTGTTCCTTTCCAGGTTTAACTGCAGGATCTTCTTCTGTAACATCCTTGGTGAGCAAGTCCTCTACAAAATTTTCTCCTTTGGTTCTTGGAAGAGGTCTTGAGGTCTCATAAAAATCTGTCCTCTCTGAACTGAAAGTTTCTGTCGCCTTCTCATTGTCCTTTTGATCCCTGAACAGGTGAGTAATCTTCACAGCTTCTCCCTGTAGCACCTGATCACCTCCTCTATACTTGTCGACAATGGAGCGCCATACTGGAACATCATCATCATCAAAATCAAGCTCCATATCATCTGCCAACAGGTATGAGATGTTTTGAGCTGCCTGTTCTTCTTCTTCATCACGTTCCTTGGCAAGCTCCTCATCCTTCTGGATCTTGAAGATACCCTTCAGGATGTCTTGTAGTACCTTTAAGTTCAGCTTCGATGATGGCTCATACGTCCCTGAACTTACAGGCTCAACTACAACACGAGAGCAAGAAATCGCCTCCAAAAACTTGGAATTATATTGGCGTTCAAACTCTTCCTTTTTGATCATCTCATACAAGGGATCAGAAACTGCAACACGCGCTTGAACATAATCACGAAGTTGATAACATGCATGTTGCACAAATCTACTGTTGGAGTTGTGAAGAAAACTCTCCAAATGGTTTCTGTCACGGTCAATCAAATACCACACAATCCTTGCAGAAAAACGGAATTTCTTGAAGTTCATAGCAAAATGTGTATGATACTTCTCTGGATTCCTTTCTGCTTGTAAAGCGGCCTCTGAAGTCTTGTAAACAGGAAGTTTTGTGTGTGGATCCAAGATCATAAAATCTTCCCACAAGATCGAGTGGTTAAGAACCCACTTGGGAAGCACCTTGATGAAAAAGTCACAAACAAGTTCAGACAAAAGGTGCATGACACGGCCAATCTCTTGCTCCTGCTTGAGACGATAGTGCAATTTGGCAAACAAGGGACTGTTGAAGGCTTCCTCCACTGTGTTGCCAAAATTATCCCACTGAGGTTCTGGAATACCAAAGTTCCAACCCAGCAATTTGGGATCTCTGCACATATCCAAGAAGCTTGAAAGTTCTACAGAAGCAATGCCATGGTCTGTCAGAATTTCAGCCCAGCGGCGTCCATTCTCCCAAGCACGGATGAAGAAAAACTGTTGGTATCCAGTTTGTGCCAACTCCATCCACTGAGAAATTCCGGGTTCAAAACTCGGTGCATACGTCTTGGGGTTTTCCTCTGTACCATAAACACTTGGACGTAGC